GCTCAGCTAAATCCCCAGCCCCCTCTTTTTATCATTTTAATAAAAATGAGTAGTAATTAAAGTCCTCTGGTGACATTTTTTTTAAATAAATAATTTCATTTAGTTTTTTTCCTTTTACTAGTAGCATCTGTTTTATACATATTATTTAAAAATTTTTTTATAGCGGTAAAAACACACACCATAAGATTTACACTCTTAATATGACTCTAAAATATATGATACAGCATTATAACTATAAGCACAGTCTTGTAGAACAAGCTCTAGAATGTACTCATTTTGTATAATTGAAACTCTAAACCTGTTGATTTTTAATCCTCCTGACAGTCTGCAAAGAACACCTTTGCTGTTCTCATTTTTCAGTGAGAAAATGGAAAGCAAGAAACAGTAAATAATTTATCCAAATTCACTCAGCAATTGCCTGAAACTGGATTCAAACCCATTTGTGGATCCCTAAAGCCTACAGTCTTCTCTTTTCCTCAGCATTTTCTAGTGCCCTAAGAAAGCACCCCTCTTGCCAGGTGTGGTAGTGCACCCCTATAATCCCAGTACTTGGGAGGCTGAGGCAGGAGGATCATTGCAAGTTTGAGACCAGCCTGCGCTACAAGGTGAGCTCAAGGCCAGCCTGAACTATACAGCGAGACCCTATCTCAAAAGGACTACAAAAAAGAAAAGAAAAGAAATGAGAAGAAAAGAAACAAAAAGAAAAAAAAAAATCCCTCTTAATGTTAATAAACAGAGCTCTTTGCTATTAAGATTTTTACATTGTATTGTCTACAATTAATAATCATGACTATATGTAATGACTACTTTAGTAATTGAATTGTATAAATTATCATTTTACTATCTCATAATTACATTATTGCTGTGCTTTTTTCCCCCTAAAGCTGTCTTTTTTTTTTTTCATTGTTGCAGTTCCTCTGTTGGGAGGCTTATGCAGTTATATTTTTTTTGGTTTTTCTCCGGTACCAGGAACCAAACTCACGACCTTGCGCTTGCCAGGCAGGCGCTTTTGCCGCTGAGCTAAATCCCCAGCCCTTATGCAGTTATTAACATTTCCACTAACAGGAACTAACACCGAACTTCAGGGCATTACAGCCTCTGCCTGAGGTACAACCTGGTACATCACTGGTGAAACCAACCCAGCGCGGAATCCTGACCTCAGCGCTGAGCTCCCTCCGCCCTCTCCGGGCCCTTCCCTTAATTTCCTGGCGTCCCCCATCCATGTGTGTGGCGCTCCCCAGCCTTGTCACTATCATTCCAGCATTTGCTGACGAAGGCCGTGCCGGGGACTGTGTCCCACGAGTTCAACGGCTCTTCATCTTGGATACACAGCGAAGTTCAGGGTTTAGCTTCACTAGATACAAGTTCACGCGTATTCTAACCGCCCCCATGAGGGACTTGAGTTTAAAAAGAAAACTGAAGTAGAGAAAAAATAAAAGCACACAGAACAGAGAGACCCAAGTTCCCCTCAGACACTGCTGAGGCTGGTTTGGTGAGGAGGGATTCCAGGGAATCACGATGCTGTTCTCGGACCTGCACCCAAAATCCCCCAAAGGAGCAGTCAGTCAGGGAGGCACCCAGGGGGCGCTGGGAGGATGTCACACGCCCCACACCCACGAATTCTGGACGCGTATTTTGTTTAAAAAGACGCCTTTCTCAGTGTAAGCAAGAAGGTCCTGTGGAGCCAGGCAAGGCAGCGCCTGTAATCCCAGCACTCAGAAGGCTGAAGCAGGAGGATTGTCATGAATTCGAGGCCAGCCAGGGCTACATAGTGAGTTCAAGGCCAGCCTGAACTGCACAATGAGATCCTGTCTCAAAAGAAAAAAGAAGGCCCTATGGAGACCACCTTGGATTTGCTGTCTCAGCACCGCCTCAGAAGCTAGGTGACACCAGCGGAGATGAGACTCAGAGGTCCCAGTTTCCCCCGAGTCAGCAACTACAAGTAAAGTCCGATGGCCCAGAAATACACCAACCACACTCTCACCATTTCTCTTTGCTTCCCCTTTCCTCCCTCTCCCATCCCGCCCCCCAGCTTGGTGTGCACGGCTTGGAAATGTCTCCGGTGGGACACTCCTGTGGCCTTTAACCAAGTCAGCTGGTTCTTCCAGTCAGAGCCTGGGCCGTGGTTAAGGCAGAAGATGTCTCACCCGCACTTGTGAGGATGTAGGGAGAGGCCGGGGGCCCTGCGCCGCTGGAGGGAGGCGTTGATACCCCTCTCCAGAGACTGGACGAGCAACCTCTAATGGGAATTTATCCTCCGGGCGCACAGCTGGCTCTTTGTATCTGCAGGTTCCACAAGGGTGAGTCCAAGCACCTGAAGATGGGAAACAGTGTTTAGCAACTGCACCGGAAGCCGGGTGTGGTGGCGCACCCCTGTAATCCCAGTGCTCGGGAGGCTGAGACAGGAGGATCACTGTGAGTTTGAGATGACTTTCTCAGGGTGAGTAAGAAGGTCCTGCGGAGAACTACAGCTTGGGCTACTTAGTGATTTCAAGGCCAGCCTGCACTGCATAGTGACACCCTGTCCCCCCAAAAAAGAAAAAAATTGCATCTATACTGCACATATATAGACTCTTTTCACTACTCCTAAAACAATACAGTAGAGCAAGTATCTACATAGCATTTCCACTGTGTCAGGTCTGTGGGCGACCTAGAGATGTGTGCAGAAGAGTGTGCATAGCTGACATGCAGGTGCCGTGCCGTTTTACGTAAACGGCACCTGAGCAGCCGTGGGTGCTGGTGTGCGCAGGGCCGGCGGGGGCTGCAGTCCACTCCCTGCGGGTGCTGAGGGGAAGCTGGACTCTCAAAGGCTCTGTGCAAAGTCTCGCGCTGAACGCCGAGTACCGGGATGCTGACGGACATGAGTGGTCACACCCGTATGGGCGGGATCACGAGCGGCAGTAGCCTGACCGGCAGTCTCCCAAGCCATGCAGCGTACAGAGCCAAGATCGCTGGAGCAGCACTGGGTTGTAACCCCTCCTTCCTCCGGGACCCAAGGGCTTCATGAGAATCCCAGGGCCCGACGGGCCTGCAGCATGGGAAGACGAGGCAGACTCTCACTCTGGAGGAAAACTTGCTAAATGCGGAAGCTCATGGGCCCAGCTTAGGAATCTGCCCAAGACGTCACTAGGGGTAGGTGCAGCAAGGGGGAGCTGAAAGCACACGATTAAAAGCAGTGATTAAAAATACACATGCAGGCCGGGCGTGGTGGCACATGCCTGTAATCCCAGCACTCAGGAGGCTGAGGCAGGAGGATCTTTGTGAGTTCGAGACCAGCCTCGGCTACAAAGTGAGCTCAAGACCAGCCTGAACTACATAGTGAGACCCTGTCTCTAAAAAGACAAAAAAAAAAACCCCAAAAAACAAAAAAACACAGAAGCAAACAAAAAAGTTCCTATGTATTTTATTTCTTTGTAAACAGTACGTGCCAATGAAAATAGTACTGTGGGCCACTTACACAGGAGGGCGTGGTGGTGCAAACCTGTAATCCCCCACTTGGAGGCTGAGGCATTGTCTACCCCGTGGCGTCCCGTGGGACGGTGAGGCTGTCCCGCTCACACAGAAGTGCGGCCGGGAACATGCTATGGATGGTCGCAGTGCTGCGCAGGTGTGACAGCCACACGGTGTAGGCACCATAACAAGGACAGAAGTGCCGCGTCTCAGAGCAAGAGGCCCGTCCCTGTCTGAGGTCGCAGCCTCGCTGAAGACTGAACATTCAGAGGGTCCAGTCTTGTCGGCACACCGCTGCTGGTGCGAGTTTCCTGGAGGAGGTGGGCTCTGAGATGAATTCTAAATTTTAGGAAGAATTCTTGGGTCTTGGATAGGCAGCAGGAGCCTCTGAGGACAGCTGGCAGGAGAAAGAAGGAACCAAAGGTCTTCTGCATAACTGGCAGGGAAAAGATCCATAAATGGAACTGGGAGGGGATATAATCAGGGATAATTTGATAAAGAGCCAGGAAATCAAATGTGAGTAAGTGAATCCACTGATTACGCTGTCAAAGATGCAGGTGTGCAAAAAGGGATTTTTTTTTTTGACTTTTTGAGACAGTCTCCCTACGCAGTTCAGGCTGGTCTTGAGCTCACTTTGTAGCCCAGGCTGGCCTTGAATACCCACTGATCCTCCTGCCTCAGCCTCCCGAGTGCTGGGATTACAGGCATGCACCAACCACCCCCGGCCAAAAAGGGATTTTAACTAGTGTTGTGATACATTTGTGAGAAGATCGCTGCAGGCAAAACTATAGTTAGTGTGTTTTATGGCAAATGGAATTAATGAGACCCAGCGAAGCAGCTCTGAGCAGGACTTACATTAAGCAATTGGCCTTTCAAGTTTACTTGGGAGTCACTGGTCCCTACTGAGGCCTGTAATGGTGGGTCCATGACGCCTCAAAGGACAAGATAAAGCCACAGCTGAGGACCTTTGGCTCCAACCCCCATTAGCTAAGAGTGGATTGTCACTGCAGGCATCAGGCATCTCACTCTTTCGGTGAAGGCCTTCCTAGAGATAACATAGTTCTCCTAAATTACCATTAGTATTACTTGGAGAATTCCATAATAGGTTTCCCAACTCCTGCCCAGATCCCTGCATTTTCTTCAGTATCCCCCTCCTTTATTTGAAAACCTAATAAATACGGGCCACTCTGGGAAGTCTGTGTCATGCCAGAGAACCTCAAAGCCTGTAATAAGGTTGCACCCTCCTGGAGCCTGGAAATCATTTCAGTTGTCTCATTTATTCAGGCCTTCGCCGTCCACTCATTTGGTAGACTGTGGGCCTGATCAGCCCACAATAACTAAGGGACACTATTAACGTAATATGAGATGGACAGTACAGTGGAGGAGGTGAGGAGGAGAGGGGG